GTGCGTGTGTGGGGTGGATTTCTCTGTGGGGGTGCGTGTGTGTGGGGTGGATTCCTCTGTGGGGTTGTGCGTGTGTGGGGTGGATTTCTCTGTGGGGTTGTGTGTGTGTGTCCACAGCAGTGGGGAGCAGCCCGTGGCCGCGTGTGGCCCATTGGGTTCTACGTGTGGCCCGCGAGATGTTTGGTTGCCGTGGCCCCCGTGCCACTTTCCACGGGCTTCTGTCCATAGCTTCTCCCTACCAGTGCGACTAAAGGGACACGCAAAGAAAGCCCGGGCCCGGGAAGCGAGGTGCAGGCTGACTGCACCCAGCGCCGACCGTGAGAGCCGGGCACTGCCCCTGCACCAGTCACAGCGCCTACCGTGAGAGCCGGGCACTCCCCCTGCACCAGTCCCAGTGCCGACCGTGAGAGCCGGGCACTGCCCCTGCACCAGTCCCAGCGCTGCTCCGGGGCAATCCGCACACCCTGCAAACTCCTGCCGCACGCGGGCAGAGAGCGAAAGGGCCCTGGGCCGGGAGACTGGCTTGTTCTGACACTCGGCTGCCCCTGCAAGGCAGGAGGTCACTGGTGCTCCCGCACTAGCCTGAGCTGCCCAGCGCCGCGGCCCCAAGGCGTTAGATGCCCGGGGCTAGTTTCCAAAGTGGGATCTGAGCAAGGCATGGAGACCTGGCGCCCTGGTCTATGCTGCCCAGTGATGCCGGCGGAAGGGCGGGGGCTGGGCGTGGATCTCGATAAGCCAGTGGGACCCGAGAGGAGAAATCTCCTGGGCTCAGCTTGGAACTCGCTTGCTTAATTCCGTCGGAGCCCGGTTTAGAGGGATTTCAGAGCCTCGCCATCCAGGGCAGGAAAGGCCGCGTGGCTCGGGGCCGCTGGCCTGGCACTCACAAGACCTAGCTGCTATTCTTGGCTCTGCCACTGATCCACTGGGTGACCTTGGGCCCCTCCTGCCACCAGTCTGTGCCTCGGTTTCCCCTCCTCCCCTTTGTTCACCTTCCCTGCGACCTTTGAGGCTGCAGCTGTCTCACCGTGTCTCTGTACAGCCTGTAGCACAGCAGGGCCCAGACCTCAGCCAGGTGCCTCAGTTCATGGTGCCGCTGTGGTACTGCACACAAGCTCTTGACTCACAGAGCTGGCTCTCCGTGCGCCCAGGCTCAGCCCCAGCTGCCCATGGCCCACACTGGGGCAAGGTGGGTGACAAGCACCCAGGCGTGCTGCTCACGGCTGCCTCTCTTCTCCCACCCCGCAGCTCTGCGCAGCCCCCTGAGCGTGCCCAGCACCTACCCAGCCTCCTTCGGGGTGGTGCCTCACGCCACCCTCAATGGGGAGCTCGCCGCACCCAGCACGTACGTGAGCATCCACCTCTCGCCGCAAGTCAGCGGGACGGTGATGTACGGACGGTCCCCTCTGGTGAGTCGCGCCGGTGCCCGCGCAGCCCCAGCGGGGGGACTGGGTGCAGGGCATGGGCCAGTCTGCTCCCATGGGGCACCTCTCCCCGGTGGAACGGGGCTGGCCGGGGCGCCCTGCTCCTGGCCCAGCTGTGCAGCCCGCAACAGCGGAGCAGAAATTGGCCCTTGGGAGGGACCCTGGTGTCAGCTGTGCCCCCCGCCCTGTGATGTTCCTGCAGGAGAGGGCGTCCTCCCCCAGCCTCGGTGCCGGGGGTCCCTACGGCCCCTCCCCGGCGCGCCGCTTTGTGGACTGTGCTCCCTTGGCCTTTGCAGGTGGCTTTTGAATCCCACCCGCACCTGAGGGCGTCCACGGTCTCCTCCTCTCTGCCGGCCATCCCCGGCGGGAAACCGTAAGTGCAGACGCCTCCGGGCAGGGGCTGAGGGCGGGGGGGGTGGAATCGGTGAGGGGGGGTGGCCTATGGCACCAAACAGGCCATGGCCACGCTGCTGCTTCGGGGAAGGCTGGCCCAGTAGTCGGCACCGTGGTGAGACTCCGTATCCCTGGCGTCGATTCCCTGCTGTGCCCCCAACTCCCTGGCTGAGTTGCTGCCTCGCTCTCGGACTCAGTTTCCCTATTGGGATGCTGAGGTTTACAGGCCTGCCCTCCCTCCTGGACCAATACACTACATCTGGCCGAGGCTTACCTACTGCGACAGTAAGGGGGCTGGGGGTATGTCTACACTACAAAGTTAGTTCGAACTAACGGACGTTAGTTCGAACTAACTTTCCTATGCGCTACACTAGCGCTCCGCTAGTTCGAATTTGAATCGAACTAGCGGAGCGCTTAGTTCGAACTAGGTAAACCTCATTTTACGAGGACTAACGCCTAGTTCGAACTAGCTAGTTCGAACTAAGGGCTGTGTAGCCCTTTAGTTCGAACTAGTGGGAGGCTAGCCCTCCCCAGGTTTCCCTGGTGGCCACTCTGGCCAACACCAGGGAAACTCTATGCCCCCCTCCCGCCCCCGGACCCCTTAAAGGGGCACGGGCTGGCTACGGTGCCCGTGCCAGGTGCAAGCCTGCCAGCACCCAGCTAGCAGACCCTGCACCTGGCACGG